GCGGTGAGCCAAGATCGCGCCATTGCACTCCAGCCTGGGGAAAAAAAAGCGAGACCCCCCCAAAAAAAAAAAAAAAAAAAAAAACCTAGGAAACATACAGTTTAACGTAAAAATATTAATCATATTTATACATCTTTTCTGCAAAATAACAACTTAAATAATGGTAACATTTTTCAACTCCAAACACTAAGAAAACAACAACAGCAAAACCACTCCTCTTTGTCAAATAAGGAAAAGTCAGACTTCTGGCAGTTTGCAAACTGTGAGGTTGACTTTATAATTTTTCATCACCAGCTATACCTCCTGAAGTCTTTTAACTATTTTTAGAAATAAGCAGTGTTGCTGACAATGCAATATATCCTGCATGTTCAACCTTTGTGAATCATACCATCTAGGGCAACTGACGTGGTGAGCAATATCTCCATGGTCACCTGGGCAGCTGCATTTAGAAACATGAGCTGTCTAGTCAAGGTTACAGCACTTGTTTTCTTTCCTAAGTATTCAATGCAGTTAAATATCATCTGTAAATTTCGATTATCTTTACAAGGCTATTGAAGGTTTGTATATTCCAATGCCTCTGATTAATCAAATTCAATTAAAAAGGAAAATAAAGATTTATTTATATAATTTTAGGGAATATATCCTCTTCTTGTTTGATTTGAGTTGAAGAGATGGAGATAAATCCGACAGAAAATACCAATAATAATGTTCAAACATTTTCAACATGTAAAGAATTGTCAAAAATTTACACACAATAGGATGTCTTATGACAGAATCTGGTAAGGGGACTTCTAGAAATTAGAAAAACAGGATATTTCTGATATAAGAGTAATGTAAAATGTCTATATTCTAAGAAATATAAAAATAAAAACAACTTGGTTTAAAAAAAGACACTTAAAATGAGAGTTGTGTGCTTTCCTTTCTGGTTTTTAATATTTTTAAATTATTCCTTCAGCCACCAAAGTAATATGATGGTTTCTGAACAGTGTTTACTTTTGTGACAGTTTCATCTCACTCTGTTGTCCAAACTGATAAAATCCAGAAGTCTAAAAACAGCAAGGCACTCCTTTCCTCTGTTATATGGAAGCTGACAAAAGGTAGACCAACACCTTCTGAAGTTTTATGCATGCTGCGTTTTCTCTTCTTGCTGCAACAAGAAAAGCCTTTGTTTTCCAACCTGGCAGCCTTTGAAGAAGTGACTCAGACATCTTCATGGCCTCTAAAGGTAAGAGTAAATATAACCAACTAATAATTTTTTTCTTATGACTAAAAATATACAATTGTGGTTGTGTTACAACCAGTGAGACTGGTACTTTAAAAGCTGTCCTTTGTCACTTTTGAACATTGTGATTTTAAGATTTTAACTCCAAGAAGCATGTTGAATTAAATTTTAAAACACTCTATCTGATAGATTGTAAACATTCAGATGTAAATGATGTTTTAGTTATCATGAATATAAATATAGTGAATTAATAAGAAAAGCTGCATATTAACGTTTAGAATGGGAATCTTTAATGTTAAACACAGGTCAGGGTGATATTTTAAGTTTAAAGGGATTTGAAGAAAATTTTTCACACATAAGTTAGAAAGTGTTAAAGTGCAATTTAATTTTTTTTTAAAAAAATTGAAATTTTAAAAATGTATGTGGGTACATAGTAGATATATATACTTATGGGATACGTGAGATGTTTTGATACAAGCATGCAATGTGAAATAAGGACATAAAGGGGAATGAGATACCCATCACATCAAGCATTTATCTTTTGAGTTACAAACAATCCAGTTACATTCTCTAAATTTTAATTTCCCATTTGTTATTAAAATTATGTTATATAGCCATTTATTGTAAATAATATTACATGAGTTATCGATTCTTAAATGTGATGGGCTAGAAATAAGTATTTCTGAATTAATTATAAAGCAAAAATATTTTAAAATTTCTTTATGGTAAATTAAAGATAAAACACAAAAAATATCTAATTTAAGCATGTAGATCACTTAGCAAGCAGACTTTTGGGAATTAGGACTGGTGAGTTTTTTTTCAAATCCCTAAAGTTGCAGAAATGTCATTACTGTTACCTTACTTTAAAGAAGTTCCCAAAAGACAAGAGATGTAGCTGTTTTTAAGGTAAGTTACAATCTTACTACAAACATTTGTGAAACTATATAAAAAAATAAAATTATAATGTGCTTTCATTTCATTGTTCGAATGAACTATTAAAGCCTAGACTATAATGAAAAGTGTTACCATGAAGAATTATGAATAGTACAATTGGTAGAAACCTTTTAAATTAATTACAGATAGGATAATAGAGTCCATCAATTTGTAATATCCTAAATTCGTGATCCATTCAAAGAAATGTGTATGCTTACTTGCTTCCTTTATCAAACATACTTTTGAACACCATTTAATATGAAACAAAGGAGGTAATCTTTCCATTTTTTATCAACCTTTAATGTAGATCAGTCCTTCGGTCCCACAGAATCACTGGGAAAGCTCACACAAATTCTAAAATATAGATGCGAAATAGCAAAATCACGAATTTAATATGTGTCATTTTTTTTTCTAACTGAAGAAAAATAAACAAAAAACCTTGACAAGTATTTCTTTTCATTTAAGAATGGCACTAACATTTAGTCCAAAATACTTCATCACTTTATAAAATAAGAGTTACAGCAATACTGTAGCCTGTAAAGAGTTGCAGAGTGTATAAAATATTTATAAGCCAGTTATACATTTTTTAAAGAGTAGATAGAAATTCAAAGCCAGTAAGAAATTCAAAGGAGTTTCTTCTTCATCTGGTAGTCTGAGTCTCTGAAGAAACTTGTGACTGGAAAGTAATATTATGTCAAAATATGATTAATCTCTCAGAAAGCAGTAATGTTCCATAATGATAAAGACTTACGTCTAAACTTAGAAGCAAAGCTTCAGGTGGAAAACTGACACTCCTGCAGCCAGCTCAAAATATTTAACACATGGAGTGGATAAAACCTCTGTTAGAGACTCCATGCTACCTAAGAGAATATAAGTGACAACAAAGCTTTCTTTTGAATTAGATTTCATGTTCAAGAGGGCAAGCCAGATTATCACCGTTATCTACATAAAACATTTTTATGGATAGTTTTCTTCAACTGTATTTAAAGACATTATTTATAACATCATGGCCCAGTAGCTATATTGGCAATTAGCATTTTCCCAGTGAATGCAGACTAATTGAACATTTCACACATTTCATGGGCAGATCAACCAGCACTACTAAACCAAAAGACATTCTAAATACCGGATGCCATTAGAACTGGAGAAACATTTGTGTGGTCTGGAGCCCCCTGGCTTAGTATAAGTTAACACCATTTGAGAGCAAGTTGCTCTCAAACAGAATGCTTTAAACTGAACAAGAGCTGTGTCCAAAGATTGCTTGCATGTGAACTGCAATCCCAGAAGAAGCAGCAGGTGATCTCCGAGTAGTGATGACTGTCAACAGTCTCAGGCAGAGATTCACTTATGCTCTACTCCTAAATAAAGACTTTGGGCATAATATCCTCTGAGCCTTAAATGCATTAATGCCTCCGGACCTGCTGTGAAGCCTAAGGCCCTCCAGGCCTGAGTGAGGATGTATAGCTACTTGCCAAACCCTCAATAACCTACAGCATTTTGTTAGAGCAAACATAATTTATATGATAAAATTGGGGTAATCTGTGACTCCCTTTAACAATGAAGTGGACAATGAGAGAGAATCTAATAATCTTACACCAGCTATTCATCCCTACACATGGTTTTTAATTGAGAGATAATGTGTTCAATGAAGTGCATAAGGAAGAGCACAAAATCTAAGCTCCATGATTTTTAAAATAAGGACACACTCATGACCACCACCGAGGTCAAGATATAGACATTTCTATATTCTATAAAGTTCTTTTTCTAGCCAATGACCATGCGTCCTCTCTTTTTCAAGATGGACTACTATTCTGAATTTTATCATTGTAGACCAGTTTTCCCTAGATCACAATTTTGCCTCTATGTTTTCTCAAAGTGTTAACATACATTTGGCACTAATGCTAAAGAAACAATGTTTATTGCCCTTTAATATTTTTGAGTTGTTATTGCTGTATTAATGGCCATTAGCTCTTCTCCCAAATCTGATACAGTGTTACGTAGTCTTCCTCCAGGTTTACTGCTTAGGATCCCATTTGGGAACCCTTCTCAAGAGCAAGGGGAGGTCTAAAGCCTGTATCTTTACAAAGTATCCGCCCCAGATGTATGAGAAGTTCAGGATGGGGGTCCTTGTGGAAACCAAACTACTATAGTATTATCAGTAGGAAGCTCTATTTTAATGGGGCCATTTGACAAATTATTCTATTTGGTCCTAGCCATAAAGCATGTTCAAATTCTAAATATCACAGACCAGTACAAACTTAATGGGCCTATGCTAATAATAATAAATTCAGTTTATTCTTACAACGTTAAGACTAAATAAATAAATGAATGAATTTACTTCATGAATAAATGAATGAATGAATTCAGAATATGCTTGAGTTTTCTTGATGATGGGAAATTTACTATCACCAAAGGAAACCCAATTCAGTTTTGGAATTTCTTTTTCAGAGATTTAAAAGATAAAGATACTTCTCCACCCCCAACATACACATTCATAAATTTAAATGTCATTGCTGAAGTGAGAACACTGTAATTTGCTGCTAATTATATAGATTCCACTTCAATTTTGGTATGTGAATAATGAGAGTACTTATTCAAATCCTTGTGTAGCTGTTATAAATGTCCTACTTGTTATCAATGCATAACCAATTTCCTTGCCCTTCTCTTGTATATGTCTTTAGGACAATCTGAATTACTTGTCTTCTTAATGGCCCTTCTCGTATTTGAAAATACCCGTCACAAAGCTTGCTTCACATCTGTACTCAATCTAAAACAGCATAATGTTGATAAACTAACTGAATGTATTTGTAAAAGTTCTAACACTTCAATGATTATTAAACATGAGTAGTAAAAATACCGATATTCTTTGAAAAAAATGATGTCTAATGAGAGAGATATCCAAATCGTAGTTATGTGAGAAGAAAAAAATAGTAGAAAGGCTATCATTTATATTTTAAACAAAAAGACTTATGACTATACCACCTTATTAGGGGATATGCATAATATTACACAGAGCAATGCAAAGTAAATAACAAACTCCCAAATTTCAAAATGAGAGATGATTAAAATCGTAACCTATTTACCTGGGAATAATATAGAAAACAGGTGTCTTCTCTAAAAATTTTAGTCAAACTTTATAGAATTATTGGATTATAATATCTTTTATCTTTCGTAATACTGGGTGTGCTACAAAAGGATTCATACCTTCAAACTATTATTGATTATATAAATATAGACTTACATAAATATAAATATATATAAATAAGTATATATAAATACATAGAAATGTATTACTGCACATATATGCAAGTAACATCAATTTATATGTATATACTTGCATAATATATAATTTACATATGTATAAAGCAACCAATAATTACTCTCCACATTTTGCTTCATATATGTATATAATATATAATTTATATATGCATATAAATATGTATGCAATAAGTATATATATGGAAGTAATTGTGTATATGTAGAGATATATATATACACACACACAAATATACACATATGCAGATTTTTTTTAAAGTCATTTATCTTGACTAAATTCAACTTTTTCTCACAACTACTACAGCAGTCTTCTGCATTTCTTTTTTTCTAACCTAGAGGTCAAGCGGTAATGGCAGTGATTAGTGAAAATAAACAAAAGGAGGGGCATCAAAATGAGAGGCAGCAGGAAGCAGGAGATAAACTACCCCATGAATAAAGAAGTAACAAATATTTTAGGAAGGACTAAATAAAATGGCATAAATTTAAATATGGATTGGGATTTTCATTCTCTTGCAGATGTCCAGAACCAAAGAAGAGGTCTGCCTCGTTTCCTTCCTGGAGCTCCAGACCCAGACCAAAGCCTTCCTGCCTCATCTTCCAATTCAGCGACCCAAGCATGGCCACCGAGCCTCCCTCTGCCAAACAGTTTTCTGCCAACAGTCAGTCTCCCTCCTGGTCTAGAATATTTAAGCCAGGTGTTTTTATCTTTCTATTCCTACAGATATTTTCTCCTTTTAAAATTAATACAAATTTCATTTCTGGATTTTCAATCAAGATTGAAGACTTTAATCAATAATTTACTGAAGTGAGAAAAGCGTTGTAAATCATAAAATTATAAAATATTAATTTTATTTATTTGTACTATTTTTTAAAGTGTGTTTTATTACTACTTTTATTCTCCCTATTTATGTGACAGAATGATGAGACTAAATATTTTTGATAGCACTGTTTAGCACATTTATCCACTTGTTCATTGTTCAAGGTGTCAGCAAATTTCTCCTCAAGAAATTGTCTAACATGCTAGGCCACAGTGGCCCACACCTATAATCCCAGCACTTTTGGAGGCCAAAGCATGTGGATAAGCCAGGAGTTCCAGACCAGGCTGGGCCACATGACAAAACCTCATCCCTACAAAAAGTACAAAAAATTAGCAGGGCATGGTGACATTTGCCCGTGGTCCCAGCTACTAGGGAGGCTGAGATAGGAGGATCACCCGAGCCCAGGAAGGTCAAGGCTGCAGTGAGCTGTGATCGTACCACTGCACTCCAGCCTGGGTGACAGAGTGAGACTCTGTGTTGGAAAGAAAAATAAATACATAAATAAATAAAAGAAAAGAAATTTTCTAATATATATAGTCACCTACAGCTATTTATTTAAAGAATATTTGTGGAGTACTTGCTACACTCGAGACATAAAAAGCATGAAACCTAGCCCCTCTCACCCAAAAGCTCTGCAACCTAATTGGCAAGACAAAAAAAAAAAAAAAAGAAAAGAAAATTGATGTAAAGTGCAAGCCTGTGTACAAATGACCAATAAACACACTACTGTAATTTGTGCAGGTGAATAGAAGACAGAGAGGTTGTTAAGGTTCAAAGTACTTGGGAGAGACATCTGCAATGAGCTGAGAGTTCGTCTTCAGCCGAATCTGAAAGGGAGGACACAAATCCAAGAGAAAGCAGTTATAAAGTGAACATTGTCTGCTGATACCAGTGCATCTCCAGGCCCATTTGCTTGAAAGAGGGTATAGTCACTGTTCTAGTCATTGTAGAGTAGGCAGGATTCAAGCCTTATAATAAATCCATCAAAATATCACTATCTGAATTTTACAGCATATAAATAGCTATTGCTATTAATGTATGTATAGTATTGTTCTTTTGTATTTTATCCTAAAAAAAGATTAGAAGTACAATTACACTAATATTGAGATGTCAGCACATCTGCTGCAATTTTCAGCTTGTTTGGCATTCTTTCAAACTATAAAGTCTATCTCCTTTATCAAAATCAAATCTCTGTGTTAATTCCCTTAAGGTACAAGAGATTTCTGTTATGCCTGATAGGGTTTAAGCTGCATGTAGCATATGTTCCTGGGAAAATGTTTATAATTGCAGATGCCTTCTCCAGAAACCCACTGGCAGACAAATGTACTTTAGAGACTGGAGAGCTCAGGGAGATATGTAAAAGAGCTGGAAATGCGAACCTACCATCTTCCATCTGCAGAAAGGATCAGCTGTAATAGCTGACTAGAGTTGATTAACTGCTGCAAGCTGTTTGGGAATGTTGTCAGACAAGGTTTTGCCAAGTATAAAAGTGATATACCAGTGCCAGAGGGCTGAGGTTTGATGATCACATATGGTCATCACATATTCTTCTTCCATTCATGAATGATGACACACCTGGAGCCAGATGCTTTTTTTTGTTACATTCAATAGAGATATGAGCCCATTGGCTTGGGTTCTAAAATGGAATAAATTTTCCAAAAATATACCTTTGCTAATCTTTCCTAGAAAAGAAAAATATGCCACCAATTGTTGAATATTCCACTTCTAAAGGGAAAGATAATTTACTCACTAAGAGAAACTTTATTTTATTTATTTTAAAGCAGTTCACATATAAAAGGATGAATGAGCATTTCCAAAGTGTTTTGCCATGAGTCTGGAAGAGGCACAATATAAATGAATTTTTAGATGCTGACTTTTCTCTAAAAGCCGCAAAAATCAAAGAAACTAACAAACATTTGGAAATAGCACATTAATCAATGAATAAACAGGAAATATACAATAAATATCTTTCTAAATTAAAATAAAATATTTTAAAATTATCTCCTCTCTTTTGATCAAGTCCATCCAATTAGTATTGAAAATCTTATTTCCAAGAACAACTTGAAAATATACATATATGAGTTTTTAACTATATAATGAATATGAAATCTAAGAATAAAATCAACAGATTCTTTTGGGTTTACATCTTTATACAGTCAATAACATTTTACTGTATAACATCAAAGAAAAATTATTATAATTTAGTCACCTATAGATAAGAGTAATGAGTTAAAGTCTACAAAACATAGACTTTGTATGTTTTAAAATACAATTTACTTTGAAATTCATTTATCAACCTGAATCACTGATACCTGTCAACTTGATTTTTTAAAAAAAGAATTAATTCTTAAGCCATACATCTAAGCCTACCATCGTATTTTCAATTCTACAGCTTTTATACTTAAGGAGTTAAGTTTTACTTGCCATGACACCTAAATGTATAATTCAATGTGTTTAAAGTTTCCAAAGTTCCTAGTCTATCAATCAATAGGAAAAGAATGGAAAATGCCCCTTTGGGCCATGGTTTATAAGTAGCTAAGTGATTTTTAAAGAAAGCGACAAGAACAACCAAAAACAAGTTTCTTAAATCCAGGAGATTTTTTTCACAGAGAGAGCAAATCAAATGTTTTTACAGAGGATGGGGAGGGTGTAAGAGTAACGGAAATAGAAAGGGTACTGAAGTTCCATACTGTCACTTAAGATTTGTTTCCCTAAATTTAGCGCAGTGATGTCAGTAAAGAAACAGAGTAGAATGCATGTCAGAATTGATGGCCATTTGTAAATTCTGTGATAGTGGGCAAATTAATCTCTCTGGGCTTGTTTCCTCACATTTAAAATTAATGATATCTATCTCTCTAAGTTTTTGTGAGGATTAAATCAGAAACTGTCTAAACATCTAGCACAGTGACTACCTTATGGTAGTTATTCAATTAAAAAAAACTGCTATTGTTGGATATTAAATCCACCTTTTTCATTGTCAGGTGGATTTCAGTTAATAGTTTCTAAATTTCAACAGTAAAACTTGATTCATGACATCAGTATTCAAAATACCTAAACTCCCACTTTATTCTAGACCCCACAGATCTCCATTTCGAAGTTACTTGTGCATAGATCTACTGCTAAATAATCACATAGATCCTTGTTGAGGCTTACCGCTCCATATTTCCCAAAAGAGAACAGAACTAATTGCAGTACACTACTAAAGACTTAGTCTAGTTTTTTTTTTTTTTCTAATAAAAACTTTGTCATTATTGTTAATTTAGGTTTTAGGGTTTCTTAGATCATAAATTATTTTTGGAAAAATATTTTTTGTGAATCTTAAAAAAATAGGCCATACATATTATTTTATCAATAATAAGATTTAAATAGAGAAAATGATATTAGTTTTACCGCCACCTTAGGACATACAAGGAGAATGAAGGAAATAATGTAGCTTCAAATTATCTGAGATTGTGATGTCCAATCAATACCAAATTTTAGTAATGACTGGCCAGTTTAATAGTTACTGGTGAGTTTATTAATGTGAATGGTGAAGAAAACTTTAAGGTGAAATGAAAAATGAAGCATTAGAAAATACAATGATCAGGCCGAGCGTGGTGGCTCACACATGTAATCCTAGCATTTTGGGAGGCCGAGGTGGGTGGATCGCCTGAGGTCAGGAGTTCAAGACCAGCCTGACCATCATGGTGAAACCCCATCTTTATTAAAAAAAAAAAGAAAGAAAAGAAAAGAAAATACAACGATCAGCAGCATATTCAGTGTTCATGCTTTTTCATTATTGGATCTTCAAGTACAGAATATCAGATTTAAAATAAACACAAATAGGCCAGGCACAGTGGCTCATACCTGTAATGCCAGCAATTTGGGAGGCTGAGGTGGGTGGATCACTTGAGACCAGGAGTTTGAGACCAGCCTGGCCAACATGGCGAAACCCTGTCTTTCTACTAAAAATGCAAAAATTAGTCGAGCATGGTGGCAAACGCCTGTAATCCCAACTGCTCGGGTGGCTAAGGCATGAGAATTGCTTGAACCCAGGAGGTGGAGGTTGCGGGGAGCCAAGATCCTGCCCCTGCACTCCAGCCTGGGCCACAGAGTTGGACTCTGTCTCAAATCACAAAAATAATAATAAAATAAACACAAATAAATTTCTTTATAAAACATAACCTTCATATTTTCTTTAAAAAGCAATTTGCATTATAGACTTTTAAATTTAATAGTTATTTCTCAGCTATCTGAGGATACTTTATCTCTGTAAATTAACTTTATTTTTAATTACGAAAGGTAAATTTTGTAATGTATTTAGTGCCATAACATGTATTTGACTTAAACTGGTATTTTGTTGGCATCAACAAGATTTTAATTTTTTGTTTGTTTGTTTTTTAGTCCAAGTGAAAGTGTGAATGAAAGAAACATGTATACAATAACCTTTCAGATTTAACAAATATATTCTATCACTGAGAGAAATTAGTTGTAGTTTGACAGAGTGACCGTAGAGGTAGGCATAGGTTAAGAGGCAAGGCCAGACATTCAAATCATTATTGTGTTGTTTCATGTCTTAAAAAACAAAAGAAAATTGAGTTTTAAAACATCTTAAGCATTATAATTCAGAGATTTTTTAAAAATTTCACAATCTCCTGTTTCCAAGATCTACTCTAATTTTCTTATTATCACAGAGTTAACAGGACTTAATTCTGCTCCCATATCTCTTTTTTTTTTTGAGACAGGCTCTCCCTCTGGTGATCAGGCTGGAGTGTACTGGCTCATGGTTCACCACAGTCTTGACGTCCAGGAATCAAGTAGTCCTCCCACGTCCCTCTCCCTCCAGTGCAGCTGGGACTAGAGGCACATGCCACCACACATGGCTAATTTTTGTATTTTTTGTAAAGACAGGGGTTCGCCATTTTGCCCAGGCTTGTCTCAAATTCCTGGGCTCAAGCAATTCGCCTATCTGGCCTCCAAAAGTACTGGATTTATAAGCATGAGCCACTGCGCCCAACCCTGTTCCTATTGTTATTCTTGCTCAATTCTGCCTTGGAATTTTCAGGGTTCTTCTAAATTTTTACTTAAATAAAAAATATTTCACATTATTTTGTATTATAAAATGTGATATATTTTCAACCATTTTTCTAATAGAAAGCATGAAAATAGCCTAATTTTATTAATATAGTAAGTAGGATAATAGTAGTATCTCCAAAGGTTTTTGATGTATTGTGATGTAATACTTTTTATTCCCTTTGTGTTATCCTTTACAGTTAGACCTGATTATTATACACCAGCAGGTGGAGCTGCTTGGAAGTAAGTGCATTATATTCTGTATTGATTAAAACTGTTGAAAGTATTTTAGTTTTCAGGAGTTTCTTTACATCTAAATATGTTGTAAACAATAAAATTAAATGTGTAGAATAGAATTAGATCAAAAAGAGTACTAGGTCTTTTTTTAATTAAAAGCTGAAAGTAAAATTATTAGTCTTGTTTAGATAAAAGTAGAAGCATAAAACTGAATCTTTGGTGACCTTGCCATTCAAATTCTGATGTTACATCTACTTTAAAATAGTAAAAGGTATTTGATCATTTCCATGAATGCTAATTATTTGATTTTCTTAATAATTTCAAAAATGGAAGTCAAAGTTTTCATTAAATAACAAAAATTCATCAAAACAAAATGTTACAGCTTTATCACTTTGTTAGTGATTTACCAAATACGCAAATTATTTAAGAATCTACAAAATTTACAAGCATGACTAACTGGATTCAAATTACTTAAGAATTTTCTATTTTTGTTGCTCTATATTATTCCTAAAAATATGTAAAAATTGAAATATCATGGTAGCATACAACTTTAGATATATTACCAGACAAATAATTAAGATAAAATCACTATTATCACCATGAGTGCTCCGAATAGTTCCATAACAATAATATAATTATTTTTGAGTTATACATCATTCTTTACAGGTTTTGTCCTTTAGTTAAAAATGTACAATATATGTCCTCAAATAGGTCATATATCTGGAATAAACATTAATTGATTATATAACTTCATTCTCACCATTTACTTTGATTTCTATGGCTAAGTCTTAAAAATTTAGAGCATAGAAATAAATTTGTGTGAAGAAGATACCATATACTTAATAATTAATCAGACATTGTATTATTTTAATAACATCTTCCCTTCATTTAAAGTTATCAATACTAAGGAAAAAATTGTTTTTATGAATTATTTTTTTCTCCATTAGTGATACTTGGTACTGAGACCTCCAACAAATATGAGATTAAAAACAACTTAGGACAAAGAATTTACTTTGCAGTGGAGGAAAGCATCTGCTTCAATCGTACTTTCTGTTCCACTCTGCGATCTTGCACCCTGAGGATCACAGATAACTCAGGTCGAGAGGTCATTACAGTGAACAGGCCCTTGAGATGCAACAGCTGCTGGTGCCCTTGCTACCTACAAGAGGTTAGTCACTGGCTCTGTGTGTCTTTTTTGTTTTTTAAGATTAGCACTTGTTTCTTTTAGAGGAATTCATCTGGAGCAGGGGGCAATCAACTTGTCAATTGTTTTAATTATTAATAGTATTTCATGTATATGAGATACACCTTTGGAATCTCTATGGTAGTCATGTAATTGTAATGTCTACAGGTTCCACCACTGGGCATGTATAACTTTGCCTTTTCTAACTGAAGCAAAGTCCAGGAAGTGCTAAGTGATATTAAACTCCTCGAAGGTGTTCTCTTGGCTAGGTATCATAGTATGGAATCTCACACAGCATTTAACCATTTATGACAAAGCCCAAAGTTTTGTCATAAATGAGAATTGTTCCAGAGGGAATAATTCAGTTATTTTATCTTAACATATAATAGATTTAGATTATTATTTAGTAGACCTGTAATAATAACTTTCATTGATATATGCAGTTAAATTGGCACAGAACTTTTACTTATTTTGCTGGCTTTGATACCATAACATTCTATTCATGAGCAAGAATGGAATCGTGACATCTCTATGAACTAGAAATAATTACTGTCTATATTTTACAGTCAAGGAAGGAGAATGGAGGTGGCTAGCCTATGACTATACATTCAAGAAATCAGGAAATATCATAGGTAGGACTTGATCCAGGTGTACTAATTTAAGATCCAGGTATACTAATTTAAGCCCAACCTTCTCTGTTAGAACCTGTGGATAAGAACTGGCCTTAGGATGATAAGAAAATATTAATATGAAAGATAGTTATTTAGGGAAGTTTCTAATAACATATATCAAAGCTAATTCTTCAACTATGTTTAGGCAAGCATCTGGCTAGTTGATAAGATGACTGAAGTGCTCATGCATGGATCCCAAGAATTTCCATCTGTCTACTGAGGATATTTAATATTAATATGCCTTAAGATAGTATAGTCATTATGATCACAGAAATATGCCCATTTAAAAATTTCTGATAATTGTTTTCTTTAATAGTAGTCCAGTGTCATAAATTAAACATAATACATATCTTGATACCTATTAGTAACTTTTTAAAAATTTGGTCAAAAGCAAATTAGTAACTTTAAAAGTGATCCCAGAACAGATCTATATTAATTCTAAACAGTCTAGTTGAAATCACTTTTATCTATCTAAGAACATTACAGACATATGCATAAGACTATGAACTTAATAAGAAAAGTCAAAATGAGATCCAGTGATGGAGAGATGGCTTGGTTTAAAAGCAAACATTTAAAAGATTTGTACCCACCCCCAATTTATTTTACAAAATATTTTATTGAGTTACATAAATATGTAAAGATAACAGAGTCAAATACTAAAGTAATGCCTGGTAACGCAAAAATTCAACTGTTAGTCTCTAACACTTTGGAAGACATGAACCAGTAATCAAACTGCTGTTTCATGATTATAATCTGAGAAAAGCATTTGTTTTTAATTAAAAACAGATAATCTGAGAGAAAATGTATGAATACACAATAATTGATAAAGGAGGCTTAAAATAGATGTGTGTTGTGGCTTCAACTACAAGGATTAAATGTAAGTTACCTCATACGAACAGCTTCAGTGGTTCACCAGCTCTTGTACTTGGAATAAAATGGCCAAGAAGCCACTGTCCCAGGGTCAGTAGGTAGTCCTGGGGCAGATTATCTTTAGGAAAGTAAGACATAGACTTTTAGTGCACAATGCTAAACATATATTTATGCAGTAAATTCCTTTGTTTTCTGTAAAATATTTATAAAACCCCGCTGCTTTCTATCCTTAGAAGCAGGTATTTAGAATGATTTGTAGAATATCAAAATAATTTCATAACTGCATATTGTTTACAGGTAAATTGACATTATAGTAAAATTAAAATATGATAACCTAAGAAAACCTTATTTTATTATTTTTTCTTTTTACAGTTAGAAATCCAAGCCCCTCCTGGTACAATAGTTGGTTATGTTGCACAGAAGTGGGACCCCTTTCTGCCTAAATTCACAATCCAAAATGCAAACAAAGAAGATATTTTGAAAATTGTTGGTCCTTGTGCAACATGTGGCTGTTTTGGCGATGTGGATTTTGAGGTACAATTGACAAAATAAAACAAGTTTTCATTTAGGTCCTGATTTTTTTTGCAACATAATTCAGTTTTTTAAATGTTCAAATTAATTTCATCTCAAATAAATTTAGAAAATAACGTATTTGTGACATAATGTAATTTGTACTTGCTAAGAATATTGTACATGCTAAGAACAGGAATTTTTAAATCCAGAGATACCAAGTCCAAGGGCATTTAAAAAACAATAATACAAAAATATATCACCTTGGCCATCATATCTGTCATAGAGCAGTCATAAGTATTATTCAAAGTAATTTTAATAAATTGAATATAATGGAAGTATATTTAGCTAAATACAATTCTATTTGTTTTATGGGCAAAGCTACCATATCTCTTTGCTTAGAGCAGTAAGTGTGTTGTTATTTTAATATGTCCAAGACTTTGAACATCAAAATTTTTTGTACACATAGCTTTGCCTTTTTAAGATAACCAAATTTCCTGCTTTTGAAAGCTAGCACATTATTCTGTTCTCAGTGTGTATGATTTATGTAGAATCACAGCTCACATGGCATAAAGCAGATATATATAGTTTAGAATCACCTAAATTACGTATTTTTTTCCTATAGCCCTTGTGATCACATATCCCAGTTTAGTTCTCATTTCAGCAGCACATTGCATTAAAACATTAATTCAAAAGCCATGTTTCTAAGACTCGCTAAGTTAGTTTTGTAAAGAAAACATTACTCTCATATTTGTATATATTGAATATTTAAAAAAAAATGGAAAGTTGCAAATTCAATCTGTAGCAATATAAACTATCTTAACAGATTTTCCTATACATACATCTTAGGTAGAGGCGACAGCCTAATTGAAAGTGTGTATTTATTTTTCATTCATTCATACATATATACCTCAGCAAAGACATTCAGTTTTCAGGACTTCAGGAAACACTGTTCATATAGAATAAAGCAAATTTTGCAAACTGAGCTGTTCTAACTTCACCCTATTATCAAAGGATTTGTCATGACTTTCCTAAGAGTGATATGATTGAGGAGGACTTTAAACATAAGTGTTTTAGCCATCATGCTGTAGATATGTCTTAAGTAACCCTCTCTATTCTCTATCTTTTACTTCCTTGCAAAAAGTAATAGTTTTTCTTGAATTATTTTCAGCATTAGGATGGGAAGCAGAGTAAACAAACAAATAGCTGACAAAGTTGAATTGTAAACTCCTTCTAGCTGAGAAAGTCTGATAGACATTGATGTCAAGGTGGGCTTAACTTCCATGTGATACATTAGCCAGGATGATTTCTTTTTAATATAAAAATAGGATTTAGGAGTCGTTAGAAAGGAATGATGTAATAAATGTCTGAGTATAATACAAATATGTGATTTGACAATGGCTAATATTTAAATGTTTCAATAATTATAAAATCTTAGCAACTAGAATTTGAAAGTTTACAAATTATGCCTAGAAATTAATTTAATTTATTCTGAAATATTTTTTAAACATATCTTCTTTTATATTTTTAAGATGGACAATTCAGGTTTAAAATCTGGGCCTCAGGTAAAGGAATTGCCTTCATGCTCAGATCATACAATTAAACTATGCACCTGCTGCCATCTTGTGGTGGTTGAGCCTTAATTATTTATTGTGATAATATTTTCGATCTGTACACAAAAAAGAAAAAGAATTATGATGGATTAGAAAATTTTCAAAAGAGCAAAATTTCTAAAAACTGAACTGAAAAACTAAATTTACAAACTTATGCTTACATGATAGAATGAGTAACATGGACTTGTCACTTGGAGATGACAAATAAAATAATTCAAATCTCTCATGAAGTAAACACCCTCAGAAGTGCAAAGCCAACTTTTTTCACTTTCGAATGTAATATTTCTTATTTTCTTTTTAAAGGTGAAAACCATTAATGAAAAGCTTACAATTGGGAAGATTTCAAAGTACTGGTCAGGATTTGTAAATAATGTCTTCACAAATGCTGACAATTTCGGAATTCATGTTCCTGCAGATCTAGATGTAACAGTCAAAGCAGCAATGATTGGTGCCTGTTTCCTCTTTGTAAGTACGGGCTTTGAGAGTATAAGTGATTCGTTTTTCTCCTTCTCGCTTGTTAAGCACAATATAGCCAATCCCATTTACACAGTTTTACCCCCAAAGAGTATATTTTATTCAACAGAAGGAGAGCTCAGGAGCAATGTTCTCCAAAAATGAGAATTTAGAAGCCTGTATTTCTGTTGGGCAGCCCTGTCCAGTGATCTCATATCCCCGCTTTCTCAAAGATTGTTGTGCTATCACATCCTATCCATCATTTCCTTAAAAACCAAGTTTCCCCTTGCTTTTACCTTCAATTGAGATTTTTCGCTTATTTTCAGTTTAACTAAAAAATATGCAAACATAAATGTCACAGGATTTATCCTGGGTAAAGTTCCAGACTGGTTTATTACATAATAGTGAGCTAGATGACATTAAGCATGTTGCCTTTTCAATATGAACATAGATACATGAGATGACTTGATGAGTTAACAGGTACCAGTTGCCATTATTTCTAAGATATTATGGCCTTGTTTTTAATTTCCAATTTACAGCTATATTGAAAACCTTTTATTCCTTGGTGTATGGAGATTGGTGATAGAAAAACAGAAGTCAAGTGATACCTGTCAAAACACTTGACCGATATCTGGCTCTTAATTTTCCCTCTAATATTTACCTCATTTCCTACCATTTTCAATGCAGTCATAAAAACTTAAGGAATTTTTACTTTTTGTTATATAAACACATGTATTTTATATAAATACATGAAAAGTATGTGTATACACAGGCACACGCATGTGATTAAACCAAACAGCATACAAGTTGAAAGTAGGTTGCGGGCATGATGCCTCTTGCCCTCATTATATGAGTGTGCATTTCCTAAAAGCAAGGAATTCTCTTAAACAACACAGTACTATTGTCAAAGTCAGGTGCTAAACACTGATTCAATGCTATGATCTAATCTACAGACATTATTCAGGATGCACCGATTTGCCATAATGATGTCTTTTCTAACAATACAAAATCCACTATCATGAAGTATGTCCAGTTTGTCACATCTCATTAGTTTCCTTTTACCTGGAACAGTTCTTAAGGGGTGTGTGTGTATGTGTTCACGCATGTGCATGTGCACATGTGCACATGCGTGTGTTTTCCTGTGTCTCATCACATTGGCATTTTAAAGTGCATAAGCGAATTATTTTATAAACGGTGGCCTAATTTCAGTTTGTGTCATGGTTAGATTCAGGTTAAGCACTTTTGGTAATCATGACATTTTTATAAAGCTTAAGTTCTTCCTCATATTTTATTGTTTTCTGGGGTTTCAAAATCCTAAATCTGATGGTTATATTAATGCCCTATTTACTGAGTATCTCTTAATGATACTTGGAAAATACATGAACTAAAAATTATTCCCTGATGACTTCACTGATGGAAATTTAGAATTTAATACAGACATAGATCTACATATGCATATATACATATACATATATATGGATGCATATTAGGATTATTTCTCCAAGATTTCAGAGGAATTATTTTAACTTACAAGTCTCCTATTTTGGGTAGAATGTGGAATGATATCTATAGGGTGCTAGGTTTTTAAACTTACTGAGTTTTCACTTACTCTCAACTCCAATTTTCATCTGCAAATCTAACCAGTTCAATCCACCTTGCCTGTTGCCTAACGCCTTCTCTTCTCTATTCTCCTCTATCCAGTGGACAGTCGTTTTAACTTGTCACCTTTCCTTTGCCTATTTTTCCCATCTTTGATCATTCTGCACTTTAACACCAACCCCTCCACATACACACCCTTTCCCCGAGATCTTCATTAGGCCTTTCTGATTAAGCCCCACACTTAACATGAATATTTAGAAAGAGATCATTTTTAATCTTCCCTGCTCACCTATTTTATATAACAGGCTGATGGTAAAAACGAACTGCTAAAATTGGAACTACAATTTTCTGTATTGTGAAACCTACTGGTTTTTCTTATTGTTTCAGAAACCCTCCAAATATATGCTCTTCTTGTAAAAGCAGGTATTTCTTAGTACACATGCTTTGAGAGATTGATGGGTTGTAGGCTCAATAAAGGTGGATATAGATCCTACTCAAAGTGTGGTGTAAAGTGCAAGCATCTGCACCACCTAGAAGCTTACTCAAAGCGAAGAATCTCAGATGCCACCCCACATGCATCAGGACCTGCACTTGAACAAGATGCCCAGGTGCTTCCTCTATGCACCATAAATTTAAGAAGCACTGATCTAGATAATACCCTAATCATCTAAAAAGATAACTTTTAAACTCCAGCATTTAAGGGAGAAATATATTCACTGAGAATAATTAATGACTCCCATTAATTTCTCTTTTTTTCTGTCATATTATAAAACACTTGCCTTTTTTTTTGCCAGTCAGTATAGCTTTTAAAACTATTTCTTACATGTACTACCAAGATAAATTGCTTTTTTCTATATAGAATTTTATAGAAAAAAATATGTTTTTAATTTTTAATTGCTATTTCCATTTTATTCAGGTGAGAGCTTTAGAAAGCTGCTGGCATAAGGATATTTCCTGATATAAATACAAATCTGAATTCACAAATGAAATCTAATTTTTGGTCTTTTCTTGTTCTAGACTACCGCTTCACAACCCACAACTACTTCAACTCACAACCCAATCTTTGAGTTCCCTCAGTACTTCCTCAGATAACTACCAATTGCTGATCACATTATCTGTGGTAATATATCTAATTTTTGTTCAAATCTTAGTATCTATTATAACTTCCTACACTGACCCAGAATGCCTATAATCTAATTCTGCAAAGGATTTATCACCCAAAACTTTGACAATACTATGCAGATTGAGATAAGATTTCCAAGCTACTTATACTCTGAAAATTCAACATGAAAATAAAATGTCATGAAGCTTAAAACTTCTGAATTTTTCTTTTCCTGATAAATCATCTAATACTGGAACACCAATGGAAATACAATTGCTTTACTAATCAAAGCTTACATGTCAAACTTTTGATCTTATTTGTTGTCTTTGTGTAAATTCACTTATTTTCAGTTTATTTACTTGTAGGATTTTATGTTCTTTGAACATTCACTGGCTGGATTATAACAAGCAAGATAATGAAAACAATAAAATATGCAGAACATATTTCAGTAAGTAAAAAGCAAGTTTAAATGATCTCTTTCCCTTTGAAGATGTCTATATTTGACGCTATCTAATTCTTTTTCATTTTCTTCTAGAAATCCCTTGGGCTCTGGATTTCATTTCTGAGTGGTTTGAGTGTTTGCTTTTTTGTAAAAAAAAAAAAAAAAGTTAATTATTATATTTATTAAAACACAATTTAATGAGGCAATTATATAGTTGTGAATGCATGATAGCTAAATACATGATTACTGGCCTGACCACAAGGTTGCTTTGAGAGATTACCATTCTTTCTTTTTATCCTTTTGAAGTTATTGCAATGGTAAGCATGAAAGATGAGAACTAAGGCTTGCAGCATCACAGATGAAAATTCAATGTTAGAGAACACTTTGAAGTTTTCCTGGTACTAAGGCTGGTTACTAATCAAAAGGACTGAGTCTTTAAAACATTTTTTGAAAAGTATTCTCTTTATACTTTGTTTACTAATTATCTTATTGTAGTGAGATATTGTTACTTTACATTGGAAAAGTTAAAAGTTGGGTAAATAATATACCTAAAGATGAAGAGGGAGATAGATGGTATCAATTCATTCTAGTGGTAAGAGGCACAGTTATATTCCATAAAGAAACTAATATTTACAAACCAAGGTATGCTGTAAATACCTATTCACGCCAGAGATTTAAATAAGCATATAAATAGACCTCTAAGTCCTACAGTGTTGTCTAGCATGAAATTTTGTCTATTTGCAATGAAATTGCAATCAATTAAGGGATCTAAGGCTCTGAAAAATAGACAACTCAAGGACTTAAAAACAAGCACAGGAAATCAAATAAATAAAACCTTAATCCACAAGGCAAATGCAGAAGTAAAAGAGTACAGTATATTCAATTAAATTAATATCTTCCACTTCAACATTTTTGGAGTTTTCCTGATTAGTATTCACTAGTTATCAACATGTTTCCAGAGCCTACACAAGAGGAAAATTTGTTATAAATGACAATAATTATTCTCTCCTTTTTCCAAATAGAGCAAGTTTCTTTTAAGCAACGTACGATGTAGCCATGTAAGATCTATTTTTGACTTACACAAATACTATACATTTTTATGCACATATAAGTGTGTTCCGAGAAAATCCAGGCAATTCCCCAGTTAGAAAAAAGAATGTATGCTGAACATCTGTTGCTAAATTAGTCAAGTTAGTCATTGAAATTAGGAGATGATCATCTCCTAGAAATATCATTATGGGTGGTAGTTAAGTTCCCAAAAGAACCCACAAATATCAATTTAGTTCTAGGCTCTGGGGTAAGGACTTTATGTTGTATAAGATAAAAATGAAGCTTCTCTCTCCCAAATTCTGGGTCAGTATTCTTCAGATTCTTTGTTCTTATCTATACCTTAACCTTTTCTGACGACCCCCTCCTTTGGCATGCAGAAACTGTACATTGCCTCAATCGACCGTAATATATCTTGTACTTGAGGCAGAGTAGTTTAAGTAATAACTACCAAAATATAACTGTATTTCAAAATCACATGCAACCTTTCTCCCAGTGATACCATTTATTTTTTCAGTGAAACTGGTATCAACTTCATGCTGGAAGCAATGCAATCATAGAAGGGAATGAAGGTCTTGGGTACAGTAGACATAAACAGGAGTCTAGCTTTGCTGTTTGCCAGTGCTGCAACCTTAAACTCTGGTCTTTGGAGATCTTCTCGAGATTCCTGTGTTACCTTGAAGAACTGTGGTGATGGTGAAGGAGAGCTCAGCATTCCTTCCCTTTCTTCTTAATCGATTGCAATTAAAGTATATGGGATTTATCATTTTCTAATAATCAGCTGAAGGAAATTATACTTTTAAAGCTGACGCTTATTAACTAATAAAATGGAGGACAAATAACATGCCAGGCACCATGCATTATATAAATTTCTGGTGGGGTAACAAAATGAAATAATAACAAAGGAAAATCAGTCAGTATGAGGAAGACTGCCTGGGAAACTGTCTTCCCTGCTTCCCACCCAGCACCCCTGGTTCATGTCCCAAATTTTCTTCCTAAAGAAAGTCCTGCTTTCCTGTCCTTTCTTGTCCTTTACTTTTGATTTCTATAATGTAATATTTTTATAACTGATGTCACAACAGCAACAGCTGAGATTTTCACCATTGGGCAAGAATGGGAAAAAGAAAATACCATTTGTAAGTACTGCATTTTACCATGATAAACTGCTTTGGAGGCTTTTTAAAAAAAATATATTAGATGAACCCTAAAACTATTGGAAAGAGCTATTCAACAATTAGACCTAAGGGAGACTCATTGCAGATTAAAATCCTTCTTAGAATATATCACTCATTTTAAAGTTGGCTGCATTTAAATTAAAACCTGATGTAGTGCTTAGCTCCTGAGTTGGCATAGAACAATAAACTGAGATCCATCTGTCTCTCCTTTCTTATTAAAGGTAAAATTGATCTTCTTATCTCATCTATGCTACTTTTCCCTTTTCCACCAAACGTAAGTCCATGAGACACTAGCAAGACCTTATGAGTTTTAGTGAAAAGCATGAAGCTCTAGAACAGGACTGATGCTTGCACAACACTGTTTCCTGGTTCACTACTGTTCCTTATCCCCAGGACCGTCCCAGATCACAGGCGCCAACTCTGTTTACTCTCAAATGTACTGGGAAAACTTGACCAGATTCATACACCTCTCATTCATTCATTCATTGAAATAAATATTTATTGGCTTCCTCCTACATCCCAAATATATAGACCCTTCTCTTACAGTGCTAACAATTTAGTTGACGAGATAGCTTCCAATCCAATAATGACAAGACCACACATTACATTTCAGATATAAGAAGTGTTTAAAGGAGACGGACAAGTTGCTAAGATATGGCAATTTGACTTGGTCATAGAAGGAGTAAATGATGCTGGATTCAATTATTATTCAAATCAGCCTCCCTGAAAATTTGAAGGCTAGGGTTTTTCAAAAATTGTTTGACAAGCAGGGGGCTAGAGGATGGGTACTGCTGATTGGTTGGGGATACAAACATAGGAGTGTGAAAAGTGTTTTTTCATGCACTGAGTCTACTTCTGGGTGGAAGCCACAGAGGAGTTACTGGTCTGGGCAGGACCATTTGGTTATTTAAAATGCAAAATCCTGAAAAGACATCTCAAAAAGCCAATCTTAGTTTCTACAATAGTAACGGTATTCACAGGAGTAATTGGGGAAGTTGCAAATCTTGTGACTTGCAGTATAATGGCTGGTAATCATTTAGTTACACCCACATCTTAGCAGAATTCAGGCCCCTCTCATCCTTCTAACCTGGTGGCCTTTCATGAGATTCATAGAGGCAGTTTTGCTCTGGGAAGGGCTATTCTCTTTTAAACTACAAATTAATTTTTTCCAAAGTTCTTTGTCTCACAGCCAGCCAAGGAAATCAAGAATGTGACCTGCCAAGGGTGAAGTTAAAGCAGCAGTTTAATAAGCAAAGGAAAGAGAGAAAGCTCTCTGCCATAGAGAAGTGTCCCCAAAAAGGGTTGTCATTTTACAGTTGAATACAGATGCTTTTATAAGAAACCAATGAGGGCTATGTATCTACTTTGTATAAGGTACAAATTTCTGGTAGCTCCACCCTGTCCTCATAGTGGGCCTTCAGGCCCTTACCTTGAGTTACTCCATATTGCTTTGTTCCCCTTACTGAACATGTGTCAGGGGGCAGAATTTTCCATTGCAGACATGTCTTGGCAAGTCTCCTGTGTGGCGTGCCTTATCTATTCAGCTGTGGCCCTGTCTTAGGCAAGCCCTCCTGTGCAAGTTCTTTTTATTTATGCCTATAAGCTGTTCTTTTGATTGAAATAAATCAACTGAGGACACACCCTAACTGACTGCCTGACCAGTTGCTTCCTACCTACTCTCTCAATGTAAGGGAGAAAGGATTTCTGGCCTATGCCATCTACTGACAGAGGAAATATTAAAAGAGGATCTGGTTTGGGGGAAAGAGCATGGGGTCAGCTTTAGTCATTGAAATTGCAATGCCTTTAAGTCTTTCAAAAAGAGATGTCAAAAAGGCTAGTGGGCATCTTTTCATCATGAGAAGTGAGTTTATGAGAACTATATAGATCCATTAAGATCTGAATTATTTCTGTTTTACTTCAAGGATGTCCCTTAAAATGTTTTAAATCATGCATGGAAAATTAATCATTCATTCATTTTTATTTATTTTATAACTGACCAATAAAAAACTAATATTTATCATGTATAACATAATGTATTGAAAAAATATCTATACATTGTAGAATGGTTAAATTGAGGCAATTAATATATGCATCGTCTCACTTTTTTGGTGGTGAGAACACTTAAATCTACTCTCTTAGCAATTTTCAGGAATACAGTAGATCTCTTGAACTTTTTCTTATTCATTCAATCATTTAGCTAATGTTTTTGAAACCACTGCTATGTACTAGTCTCCATATTAGGCACTGGACATATTATACTCAATTGTGTATTGTCCCTGCTCTAAATATTCTTCAATAAATATTTGTGGAATGCATACACTGCACTAGGCATCAATGTCAGCATTAAGTTATGGCAGTAAACAAAAGCAACAATGTGCCTGCTTTGGGGAGCTTACATAGAATAGAGTTGATAATAACCCAACAGATAACAACGTGATAAGGTTACCATAGGTAATCACAAATATTGACAAGGAGTCTACCACTCAATATCTAAAACAATAAGCTGAACTTACTATTTGTTCAGGCAAGGGAGAGCTGGTTTTGCAAGACAGAATTTATAAGAAAAGAAGGTAGATTATATAGGGCTTTGGGAAAGTGTGGAGTTTAAATGATGGAGTATTAACTGTAGCTAGGTAAATATGTCTACTATAATAATATTTGCTGACTTGCTGACCCTCAGGAATCTGTTCACTGGATTAAAGCTATTGCTGATTATATGATTTTCAGAAATTACGTGAAGGACATGTTTCCGGTTGTCTTTCAGAAGTGTGTGTACTTTTGTATTCAATCATTGATTGACTAAACAGGTTTAATACTAGTTTTGATTGTTACTCATTTGATTGCTAATGCAAAGAGTGAACAATCAACTCTTTCCTAGGAGGATGAGAATTTTATACCCTCAAACCCATAAAAAAAAGTAATTCAGGGTAACAAGATAGAAATAGAACTGCTGTTACATTTTAGCATAGACCAGAAAGAAGGAAGCAAGACTTAAGAATATTTAGGAAAAGAGAGTTCCAGGCAGATATAAAAGGAAATGCAAAGACTCTGAGTCAAGAGCAACCGGACAATTTGGAGAAGCACAGGAAGCCAGTGTGGAGTACAGTAAACAAGAGAGAAAGAGAAATGAGCTGCTGTAGGAAAATTAACCAGGGACTAAATCGCATAGAGTTTTGCAAGGCAAGGTTAGGAAGGGGAATTGACAGAAATTGAATATGGAAGGTAAAGGATTTTAAGAACTCTAGTATAAAGACTCAGTTCATTCCAATTTTTGTTTTAAGAAACTGAAGGTATGGCCATGACACTCCTAAAAACAGGTTCAATTCAGGTGCTACAATAAAAATAATGTACCACAAAGGCACAAAAAAGGAAGCATTCAATACCATTTAGGGTGGAAAGTTAATACCCCAGAGAGTAGGTAACAAACAACCCATGAGTTGACTATGTGTCTTCTATGCTAGGTGGGGTAAAAGCTAGGTGGGGTAAAAGCCAAGAAGTGGGAGAACATTCCAAGCCAAGAGCACAACACAAACAAAGGCACAGAAGACATACAAATATAGTAGGCACGACAAAGAATGAAGAGGCTGCATAAGATCAGAATGTGCTTAATGAGGTCAGACTCTCTTAGGCTAGGGGGTCACATCTTCCCACTCAGCTGTGCCCCAGGTGTCCTACAAGTAATGGTCCTAGATCATAATTTAACTAATATTTTCTTCTCCTGAATTTATGTACATTGTCTGTATTTGGCCAAAGCATCCTCTGGGGGCTTTGAAAATTGTTTAGAAACTAGGTTGAAACTCAGAAACAGTCTGAGTGAATCCACAGGTATTAAGGGGGAATCAAATGATATCTTTCCTATCCCATAATATCTTGAAGGAAGGAAGCTAAAGCTTGTTAGATAAATCCGACTTCTCTACAAAAAAGAAGTTTGGATAGATGATCTGAAGAAATAAGGTTATAGCCCAAACAGTATATATAACAGCACACTGAAATTCTGATTCATTTAAGCCTTAATGAGAGGTTTATGGACGTATTATTTTTAGATTTGTTATATTTTGTTTTCAAAATGAAAATGAACTGAAGAAATAACAACCGTTTAACACTTCATAATTTACTCTTATTCTTGTTTTGGCAGTTTTATGTTACAGTTTCTTTAATTGCTAAAATAAGGGGAAATGAAATTATTGTTCATCATATTTTGACTTTTTAAATTAAGCATTTATTCGTTTCTATACACTTTGATTTTTATCCTTTCTCCTTACATTGTGGTTTGCTTATCTTAAAAGGAAAAATTCTTTTTAATAAAATTTCTTTAAATAAATGTAAATGGATTTTTTCTATTTCTTATGCTGTGAAATTTTTGACATTAAAAATAGGTGGGAATTGTATACTTCATTATGGTTCATTCTAACAGTCCAGATGTTAAATTTAGGCATCACATATTTAAATAATTTGAATTGAATAATTTAAGGAATCTATATTTTTTTTTTAATTTTTAAATCTTGTTAAAGAAATGGAAAAAATAGTAGCTTTTGCTGACTGAGTCTCTTTTATGACTGTCAAATATTATTATCAACATTATGAAAATGCATTTCAAGACATTTTTTATTTAATTATAAATGTATTTTTAAGAACAATTACAATGAAACTATAAGAAGTTTCAAATATTAAAATTTGATATTTTGCCTGAAACAAAACTAAAACATAAGACTACTGTTTCACAAATATGTAAGGTTAGCATTAATAAGTGTTATGAGACATGGGCTAGACTTCTTACATACACTTCTCATCTAATGCCAATGATACACATTATAAGCCCAAAAGTGCAGATGAAAAAAAAATCAATTCTCAAACAGATTAAGTAGCTTGCTAGATTTTACAGAACTGCTAGCTTTCTGTCAGCCTTCTAGAATGAAGAATATGAGTGGGCAGGAAATGGCAGAAGGAAAGAACTTTTAAAAGAAAATAAGATGAGAATCCAGAAAACTAGGGGAGAGAAGCTTTTTTTCCTTTAAGACCTGAATTAATAGTATTCTCATCAATATTGTGTGCTATTTCTATTTAGAAAGGCAACATATAAACAACTTTAAATCTTTTATCCACTGACAGTATATCTGTGATGTTATTCTGTGGATAGCTTTGTGGTTATTATTCCATATAAGAGATCAAGTAGCCAATGTGTAAGCCTGAAAAAATACCATTGAGAAAAAGTTTACATTATATTGGAGTAATTCAATAAAAAAATTATTAAACATAAAATATTTAGAAAATATTTTCCAGTATCAATAAATCATAAAGGCTATTTTAGTCCACCATTTAATTGCCTGTTCAAAATAACAAAATAAAATGTCAGTATTCATTTTGGCACCTATATTATGTTCTTAAATATATTGAATGTTTTAAAATATATCATATTTTAATTGTGTTGAAAGCTAGCTGTAGAAAATACATAGAAAGACTAATACGAAAATTAAATAGGTCTTGTTTTTTAAAATCTAGTTACATCTGTCTTGATAATATACACGTTTAATAAGTCTTTCATGCTGCAGATGGCAGCAACACTTCACATTATGATGGCATTGCTTAGCTACACCAGCAGAAACTAGAAAATACAAATTTCTATTGAGTGTTTATTTTGTTCTTTCTGCAATCTGGAAAATAAATCACATCAATTTTGTATATGGAAGGGTGAAATTTGATGTTATGTTTTAATCAACTGAGAAACTCTATACTTGTTGATGTATTATGCACATGATGAATGTTTAGTAATTACTATTTTTAATGAGCAGACTGAATTGATAGACAATTTCTATAAATTTAGTGAATGCATATATTCCTATTTTTCTAAGGGAACTGAGTACCACTGGCTTACAAATAGTTAAATAAAAGCACCATAGAATCAAGCATCTAATTGAAAGTGGAGTATCAAATCTGATTTTCTATTTGTCATTTAAGAGCTAAATCATCAGTACACAAAATCTAAAATTATTTAAAGTTGTGCAGAAAATCCACTCATTTTTGGTCATTTGTATGTTGCATCTTGACCACCTTCAGAGGAAATTTATAGGCCAAGCCAAGATACATGCGTGGAGTCCATTTCCAGTTTGATGACTCAAGGTCAATGAGCAAGTGGAAGTAGGTCTAACAATGGATACAAATGTCCCAGCTTTTTAAATAGGCTTTTAAGATAACAAGGTGATAAGAACACAAAACCATAATAAATATTCCGTCTAGAGTTAGGATCAGGGGTCAGAAGCAGGGAAAAGCAACATAAATGTAGAAAAATCAACTTTATCCTATATTGACTTTTAACCCAGGCTAAATGTTTAAATAACATAGCTATTTTTAAAAATATCCATACCCAGACCTCATTCTGTACCAATTAAGTCAAAATCCCTAAAAGTATCTTTTAAGTCACTTAATTCTTTTTATATAAAAGAAAAATGACTAGTAATTCTAAGGTGCAGCCAATGTCACAAACAACTTCCTTTCTAATACTGACAAAATAGTATAACTTTTATTTTTAAGGCCAGATCCAACATTTGGCATTCAAAAGCTTTAGTAATCAGTCTTTGGCTTCCTTGTAAAGACTTTCTTTTAGCTTGAGCCTTTAAACTATAGTTCTGTAATGTCCCTCTGGAATCCAGTTATAGATCTCTAGCCTTTAATCTCTTTATAGAGCTCTAACCTTCAAACAATAATAACAATGATATCATTCATCTTATTTATTAGAATTCTTTAGAGTATTTCAAAGCACTTCCACACATATAAATGGCCTGCCTTGAACCTCACAAGAAAACAGAAGGTTTCAATTTTACATAACATCAGAGATGACCAGGTACAACATCAATATATTGAAGACTTAGAAAATGAGAAATATAAAAATTAAATTATTTTACTTTGTGCCTACAAGTCTTTTTACTATACAAAAGTATAGGTAAAAAGACTATACATAAATATATAAAATACTCAACATGGTAAATTGTTTAATAAATTATGTTTCACACATAGAATGGAGTTCTCTTTACTTAGAATGAGATTTTTAGATGATAAAATACCTAGCAAGATAGACAGATAGGATGGAAATTATAATATAGCTGGTAAAGAAAAAACACTTTACATGTGTGCACAACTATGATTCAATTCTTATAAAATCAAAAAATAATTACATATAATGTGTGTGTGAGATAGAGAAAAAAGAGAGAAGTGGAAAGGGTTAAATTTCAAAATTGCTATAACAGAAGCACTGGTATGCAAATCACCTAAAAGCCATATTGATTTTTTTAGGGTATACATTTAAAAGAATGGCAGCCAGGATATAGATCTAGTCTAAGGTATTTTAAATTCGTAGTTCACCTTTCAAAATTGTGAGATAAGCTTTTGGATCAACAGCAATATTGTAAAGATTTGAGAGAAGTATTAACCTCCTAGAGGTAACTCTGGGGAACCCGTATGATTGTGATCAAATTCAGAACAACATATATTTTTTGTGGAAAACAAGTTCTTCCCAAGGGCTGTTCCTAAATTTAACTTAGTCAGACAAGCTTAATGAATGAGGTTATTCTGGCCTACAAAACAAGTTGGGAAAAATAGACACGCAATCATAAATAGGAATATGCGTCTTCCTGATTCTTGGCAGCCAAGTCCCAGAAACACAATTACTGGCTCTCACAGCTTCTCAGTACAAATAAGAACTACAGGAACTAAGACAGTTTCGGTCTTAGTAGAAATTAAAAAAATATATTGCATAAATGGTCAGCATATAATGATGCTTACTCTATATGGAAAGCCAATTTATGATAAAAGGTTTTCAAAGCAATAACTTAATAAATAAACGGCGATTTATTAACTAATCATTCAATAAACTCTGATAAGGAAAACCTTAGCCAATATGGAGCCACTTTCATTTGGCTAGTGTATTTCCAAACTTCTTTTTGTCCATACCAATCTAGAGGCTAAATGTGTGGTCTGTGTGTGTGATAGAGAAAGAAAGAGAGAAGAAGATTATGAAAATGTTATGTTTCTTATTTGCTACAGCAGAAGCACAGGTATGCAATCATCTAAAAGCCACATAAAATGTTTCTGATATATGTTGATAAGCATGATAGCCAGATTATAGGTGTATTCTACAGGCCTAAGTCTATTACTTTCTCAGCTTCCTTGTATCTAGGGGCCCTGTGCAGTCAGGTCTTGCCAAGGAAACATAACCATAAGTCTGTTAGGACTTTTAGTATAGCATTTACTTTTCTGTAAAAAGGGGAAAATGTTGCTGCCTCTATTTTTCTGATTACTTCTTCCTCCAGGGAACACAATTGTGATACCTGAAAATAGAGCAGTGAACTTTCGTGAATAAGTCAACAAGCGTACACTCTTAAGTTATAAACTAAAAAACAGAAGGAACAAGGGTCTTTGATGATATAATGAAGTTGTTTTCCCTGTCCTGGACTACCTACCTCCAAAATTCTTAACTGAGACCTTTGGTGTTATTCTTAACTGAGCAATGGTGTTATTGCTTAAGTCACTAGTGTTTAGGTACACTGTAACATGAAGCTGAAACTATTGCTATCTAATACTATCATTTAGAAAAATTAAGATATGATTTTAGGCCACACACAAATATAAACCTAGATATAAAAACAGAGATGTAAATTTCAACATTGACATTCTTCTCATGCAATAAATTAAAAAACAACTAGGACAAATGAAAATTAACATAATTGAAAAAGAATTGCAATATAAAAGAAGACACAGTGCTTATCTATAATGAGAAAAGAGCTTCTGCAAATATCATGAGAAAAATGTACTGAAAGAAAATAGGAAAAGCACATGAACATAAAAACCACTGAAAGAAAGTGTTAATGTCCAGTAAAAATAAAATTATCTTCAAATTCTCTATTAAAGAAATGAATCAGAAGATTCAAAAATCTGAATTATCCATTGTTATCAAAGATTCAAGAAAGTATACAATCTTGGCACTAGGATAAGTTGGTATAACTAATCAGGAGAGAAATTTTTCTTCAAGTGCATTTATTTTAAATGTATATTTTAGTCGAGTAAGCAACTTTGCCTATAGGTTTCCTAAGTAATTACAAAAGCTTTAAAATATGGGTCAGGGTGCTTGCTGCAACACTGTTTTAATATTCTTAATAAATAAATGAAGACATACTAATGTTCACCAATGGTGACTTAGTTAATAAATGGTTGTTCAAACATAGAATGGAATTCTCTCCTCAAAAATGAGACAGCTTGGTAACCAAGTAGATGGGGGCCAACAGGAAGGAAGCAGGGATGAAAAGTATCTGTAATCTTATAAGTAAAGGAAAAACAAGCACTTTTCAGAGCATGAGAACTCTGAAATGAAGTAGAATGAAATGAAATGCTACATTTAAAATGTTAATAAACAAAATAATTGCATAAGCACTAAATAGGGCATTCTGAAATTTAAAATTCTAGAATACATGCCAAAATTTTGACAGCATTTATTTCAGTGTAGGGTCAGGCAAAATAGGGGGAATTAAATAGTACTTTAAATATTTCTGTGTTTTTAAATTTTTGAACAATAAACCCATTTAATATATAGAGATAAAAATACATATAAGTACACCCAGCTTTCACACATTCAATTGTTAAAGTACATCTATTGTTAAAAATAATTATTCAGATTTGCCTTATAAGGAAAAACTTGTGACATTCTTTGAATTCACAGGAAAAAAAGTCAAGAATAAAGTTTTTAAAAATAATTTCTTTCTTTTCTATACGACTACTGTTAACATTTCTTCTTAGTTGTTTCTAAATGAATCTATCTTTGAAATATCTATCTGCATATCTATTTCCTTTTTTAATTGATTTATTTGTCACAATGTTTAACTCATAAAGATGTATAAGTTTTCCTGGGATTTATCATACTACCCAACATATTAAATCTCAATTGTTAGTATTTTATTTCACAAAATTCCATGGTGATTTTATTTGATATGGCATCAATCCAACATGAGTGTTCAAGTTGGGAAAGATATATCCGTCCTTTTTAAAAAGTTTTTTTAATTATTATTTTCATGAGTATATCTTAGGTGTATAATTTATGAGGATGTATGCAACCTTTCATCAAAATACTGAATTGGATAAAATGTATACTCTGAAATTATTTGATACCTAATTTTTCAAAGCATACCATAATACTTTCATTACTAGTTTATTTTCCAGCACGTAAGTGCAGTAAGAAGAGAAATTAAGAAGGTGGAATTCATTTCTTGAGGTGCTTATGGAACATCAAAGTCCAGAAAATTTGCAAGTACCTGCCAGGAAAATGCTCTAGCTTAAAGTTTTAAACTTAGGAATTTAAACCATGAGTGCATGACATAAGACCTTGAAGCTATATAGCAGGAAAAGATAAGCGTAAAAAGTGAAAGAAAGCCTTGGGATACCATACTTCAAAAAACAGAAGAGTCCACAAGGAATAGAGCAAAATTGCCTGGAGAATAGCAGGAAAAACAAAAGTATGATGCTTTAGAAATTAAGAGAGGAGAGATTTATATAAAGAGAGCAGTGATTAACCAGGCTAAATGCTACAGTAAATTAACAAAAATATAGGATTTAGTTATTTTCTTTGGATTTAGACCTTAGAATACTATTAGGCCTTGGAGAAGGCAATTTAAATTGATTTGGCAGAGGGTCCTAATGTAATGCATCTGAGCCAACTGAAAATCAAAAATCAGATAAAATAAGTGACTTTTAAAAATGTAACAAAAATAACTTGGAATTAACATAAATAGGTAATAACAACCATGATGGTCTTGAAGAGGGTGGCACTTCCAGGTCCTAATGAGGCAGGGACTACTTTATTTTGCTGCAGAGGAATGACTGGAAATATAAGCAAAGCCCAGAGAATAATACTACAAAAACAGCTTAATAAACCTGTTATTCTGGTAAGAGTGAGGTAGTTATTACAGGATCAAAAGCCTGAACATTTTATTAATAATGAGTTAAAAGATTAAGCTGAGAAGTAATTTTTCTGAGGTTATAGAAAAACACAAAGAAAACTAAAGAATTAGATAAAGAGTTACAGCTTCTAACTTTTCAATGAATTCCTCTACATGGGTTGCATGCAAATCCAGGTGTCATGGTTCCATATTAGATTTTGAAAAATATAATTTAATAATTAAATTTAGCAGTTAAAATTTTAATTATGTAGACCCTAATTATAGAATTAAAATATAATTTAGAATAGAATGTAGTCTAGATATTTACATAATATATTTACATTAAAATTGTATCTGTCATTCTAAGGGAAGAAATTATTTCTTCTTGTGTGTTCACAGCTGTCACTATCTTATTCGTAAACCTGCTTATTCTCCCTGACACCAGCCTTCCATCCTACAATCCATTCTTCATCAAGATTGATTTTTGGTTTTTTTTTTTTTTTTTTTTTTTTAGAAAGAGTCTCGATTTGTTACCAAGCTGGAGTGCAGTGGCATGATCATGGCTCACTGCAACTTCTGCCTCCCAGGTTCAAGCAATGCCCCTGCCTCAGCCTCTCAAGTAAATGGGACTACAGACACATGCCATCACGCCTGGCTAATTTTTTTTTTTGTATTTTTATAGAGACGGAGTTTCACCATGTTGGCCAGGATGGTGTTGATCTCTTGACCTTGTGATCCGCCTGCCTTGACCTCCTAAACTGCTGGGATTACAGGCATGAGCCACCGTGCCTGGCTTAGATTGATCTTTTTAAACCAAGTGTCTGAAAATGCCTTTTTAAGTTCAAAATGGTGCACTGAAAATAAGAACTTGTCTCTCTTCTCTTCTAAGTCCACAATACAATTATAGCAAATGCAAATGCTGATAGATAAAATAACCTATTGAATTTGCTTCACAAATTTGCATGTCATCTTTGTGCAAGGGCCATGCTAATCTTCTCTGTATAGTTTCAATTTTAGTATATGTGCTGCCAAAGCTAGCACAGGATTATT